GGGTCCGTAGCCAATAGAATTGTGAATTTTGAAACCCAATGCTTATCAGCATGGGTTGGAGCACCCTTGGTTGGCTGCCACAGTAATGTTAATATCTGTTTGGCTCTACAACAAACGAACGTAGCATTGTTAGCGAAACCGGGGGATCGATCGTTATATCCCGCCGGATACGCCGCGTACGGCAGCTTCGGCAGCCTATATGTCGGCAGCCGAGAAACAGGTCCGGTCGCCCTCCAGGTTAGAACCTTCCCGTAGGCGGGAAGCGAGTATGCATACAAAAACACATGTACCAACAGTGGAGTGTCTAAGACTCATAACGAAGGACTCCGGGAACTAGCAACTCGATATATATTCTTGCAAAGCAAAAATTTTGATGATCTCCGTAACACCGAAGTGTAATGGGTGGACTCCTATATGAAGACTCAGAAGATAATGTCTCCTTACGAGACTCGATGCTGGGGAGAAGCCGCAATACAAGAGAAAGGTGCCGTAGCCTGTCTGACACCGGCGGGTCCGGCATCCGTCGTGAGACTGCCGAAGCTGCCGGCTGCGACTTGTGTCTTGTCAACTCACAGTATCATGACGTACCGGGGAGGACGTTTGCTTCATTATTTTCATTAACATATCCTAAGCAATACTCCCCATCCCCGCCCACAGCTTATTATTTACCCTATCACTCTTCCCCTACTATCTAGGGTCTCATTATGTCTCTTGCGTACAACTCACGAGGAAGGATTAACCAAAACTACCCAAGGCAGCGGCTTTCATCATCGTGTAACTACAAGTACAGGTGTAACAGCAAGGGAGATGTGCGACGAAAATGTTAGTGGGGGGAGTTGTACTGTAGGGGAAGAAGAGATAGAGACAGATATAGTACAAATGAAAAAAAGGAATATATAATGCATAAGAGTCTGTGGGAAGCGAGAGATGCAAGCACAAGAACATATAAAACATAGGATATCACTTGAAGCGCGTATAAAACTGTACACTGGGAAGCGGGGCATGCAGGGATGAGATAAAGCAAGAATGGACGAAGTGGGCGACAAGGGACCGATAATGCCGAAGAGGCCGAGCGCGCCGGGAAGCCGGGAAGCCTTCAAGTCCTTGCCGGGCATGCCGACGAAGCCGGATGCGCCGGCGAAGACTTGTAAAGGGGAAAGGCCCCCACTTACTTACTTCTTTCCCTTCCCCCCAGTCTTCTTAGCCGGGGTCTTCGCGGGCGCCTTCGCGGGAGTCTTCGCCGGGGTCTTCCTCGCCTGCGGCTTCTTCGCCCGCGACTTTTTGACCACCTCAGGTTCCGCATCCTCTTCCCCCTCCTCGGGCGCCAGCTCCTGCTCCTCGGC